TTTGGGGAGGGGGGTGTCTGGGGCCCCAAATAGCGGTGAAGAGACGGGTAGTTGACGATGGAGGGTGCTGCTGCGAGGGCATGCGTTTCCCTCCCGCAGCCTGGCCGGTTTCCCCTGTGCGCGGTGGGTCCCCTCCATCCTCACCGCCCACCTCAGCCCCGGGCTTTGTCAGACCTGGATGTCACCCGGCCGCCTCGGTTGTGGAGAGGCACAGGTCTGAGTCGGGGAGAAGCGCCTTCTCGGTAACGGGCATGTTCAGTAATTGGACAGTGGCGGGCCCTTTGGCAGTTCCTATCCTCTTATGGTCTTGGTTGTATGGTCGTGGTCTGTCTCAGTTAATGGTGAAGAAGGATTCAAGGTCAGCGGTTTTTGCAAAATTAGCTCACGTTTTTAGTGTGGATGTTACTCAATGGAGTCTTCTCCGAATGGCTGAGATCATTTAACTTTTTATTTTTGGGGGGGGTGGGTGGGTGGGGGGAGAAGGGGTAACAGTGTTTTTGGCATAATTGGTCTTGCTTTTATTTTTGTCATCTGTGTGATGCTTTCCTTCTCACGTCTCATTTGCTTCCAAGAACAATCCTGTGAGATCGGTAATAACAGCCAATGTGTGCAGACTACTCATTATGTCACTCACTGTCCTTGCTTTTTATATGGGTTATCTTATTTAATCTTCACACACTCTCATGAGGTGGGTCGTTTTTTTTTCCAATCTCTGCCCCCCCGCCCCCGAATTTTTTTTTTTTTTTAATAAATGAGAAAATGGGGCTTTACTGATGTGCTCATATGTCTGAAGTCATACAGCTAACATTTGGTGGAGCAAGGACCTGAACCCTGTGGACTGTCCCAGGCTCACCCTCTTAACCGTTGTGCTAGAAACCACCGCACTTTGAGCTGAAGATACTGACTTGCCACAGGCCACGCAGGCTGTGAGCGGAGACAGGGCTCTGATTTTCACTTCCCCAGGGCGGCACCCTCAGGCCCTCCAGGATACATTTTCAAAGGGCAAGGATGAGCTCTACCAGGGCGACTGAGGGCAAGAACTGAATCCAGGGTTTGCCGTAAGTGGCTCCTTACAGTTCTGTGCAGCGGCTGCCTGCAGACTTTTTATTTTTAACTAAAAAGATTCAACACTTTTGGGGGGTATATAGTCATCCTTGTTATAATTCATAAGTTATAATACATTAGAAATGGCTGCCTTTAGTAAAAGACATGTAGGTTTTCTTGGGTTTCTGTTATCTGTTCGTTCAGTGATGTAGTTAGAAAACACACTCTGAGAACGATGAAAATGGCCAAGTCACATCTTCGTCTCATTGTGACAGTTTTCCGCCTCATTGGCATTCTGAAAGGGTCTCTGGTCTCCCGGGTTCAAGTCCATACTGTCTTAATAAACCTGCCCATACTCGGCCTTCTGCAGTTCCTTACAACTTTCAATGGGGCCATCTTGCCAGTGGAACATTCTATTACTCTACCGGTTCTTAAGACAGATTTGGGGCTATGTCTGAGAATTGGCATTTCTCGCCCCCTGTTCCCTGTCCCCCTGTTCTCTAAAGGGCAGTTACTTATCTTCCAAAAATAGTATTATCAGTCACTTTATCAACTCCTTGCCAATTAAAGGAACCAGAAGCATTGTTAATTGCCAAACTAAAGCCTCTTCTCTCCCAAATCAAGTTAGTTGGAATGTTGAGTGAAGGCAAATGATGCGAACACGCAGTGAAAGTCTTCCCCCAGAAGCAAGATTCAATATTTTTAAGAATAATTGGATTTCCACAATTGTTCTTGAGGACCAAAGAAAATGCCTTTGGTGCCCCATAAGTCAGTTAGAATTAATAGTGTTTTGGACTATCCAAGAAGAAAAACCTTGTCCATTTCACATGGATAAACATCAGGATATGTTAACCAGAAGTGACATGTCATATTCTTAAAAGTGAAGACAGAATTAGTAGCTTTTATTACAGTTATTTAGGAAGAAGATTAGAAGAGGCTTTTTAGGAATTCCAAGGTGATTAATATAAACTGATAGGACTAGGAAAAGAAAGGGTGCAGACTGTTGTTGACTTTTGACCTTCAGACTTTGGTACAGCCCCTGCTTTTGTGTTTAAATACATTAGTGCCCCAAACCACTATCATTCCTTGCACTCAGACATTCATTAGCGGACAGTGAACAGCTCACTCATGGTGGTGCTTGCCCACCATCCACAAGTTCAAGGGCTGTCACTTATGTGTGTGCTGTCCCACTAGGTAGGTATTGTGGTTGCGAACTGAAGGCCAGAGATTAGCCTGCTCAGAACTGGATTTGAACACAGGCATTCTCACAGGAGAGTCCAGGCCTTTATAGATTTCAGATTCAGCAGCATCACTATCTTTGTATAGCACTATTTGTATTGCCAAAGTTTTAGGATTTTACAACTGTTGGACGGTCTTCAAGCTCTTGCTGAATATTGTTTGGGGTAAAAGTGGATAGGGCTGTAAGGGTGAATAATTGTGAAACTGTGGTGGGATGAGATGTGGGGAGTTTACATTCTAGTATCAACGTTTTAATAGTTTTTCTCTGCATAACTGCGATTAGTTGAAACATCTTGAGGATGCATCTTATTACTCATAAATAGGCAAGTTTGGGGGTTGCATTTTTGGTTTTTGAAAATCACCCATGGTCTTACTAGAACACCTGCTTTATTATTCATTCTCTTTTTGCTAAAATGATTCTCATGTGCTATGTGGTTCTCAACCAATTTTGCACTCTGGTAGGACAGGGCTTTCTTCTACCATTATTCGTAGTTTTTAAATGTTTTTACTAGTAGTGGTTAGGGAAGGGGAGTGGTGGGAGTGATGGTCCAAATACAGGAATTGCTGGGTCAGCAATTGCAAAATAGACACAGAGAAATGTGAAAGAGAAAATATCCAGTTTTTA